ATGGTTTATGTATTTATGTTGGTAAATTCGACCTACTGGTGATTGCAGTGCTCTTAATTACACTAACTCACACAGTTTATTAGATTCAACTGCCCCTCAATGCTAAGTTGAATTTTTGGCTTTAGTCTCAAAAGCCATGAAATGCGGGGAGTTGATCAGTTAGATTTGTCCACAAATAAAAAATTTATTATTAATAATTTCATAGGTTCTCAGTGTTTGACAACTCAACATAGGTATCGAATCTAGGTTGATGGTTACATGTGAGACGGTGTACGTGTAGGGGACCGGATAATAATAACATATATCCAAAGGGCTTAGAAAAGTGAAGTGTAGCCATGTGATATCTGCTCCTTTATTTTCTTTTCTGCCCGTTGTGCTTTGTTTTATTCTTCTCTCTTCCTTTTGTCACACTCTGTTTTTGAAATCCTATACACCATTAGTTGGTAAATATAGGTTTTTAAGTACAACGGTTAGTCAAACCAGTTGACTTTTAAGGGTCCAATTTTGAAAATAGATTTAATTTGCCTCTTGAATTCTAGGATTATTATTTTTTTTTTACGGGTACAAATTTTTAACTCAAAATTGTATATTCATCTAACTGAACTTAATTATGCTTAATATTATATATTAATATGATTAAATAATTTCACTTAATCATTTTACTATTTATAAACTTACGTATATTGAAGGGAAAATGGTCAAATACATCCTTGTTTGAAGTAAGGTATACATATGTCACTAAAGTATTTTAATTTACGGAAAATGGTCAATTATCCTCTTAATGTTTGTTGTTGTAAGATTTATATATGCCCATGAAGTATTTTTAGGTATGAATATACCTACCATTAAAGTTAATTAATCTAGATATATATGCTTTCATAACAAGAAAATTGATTATTGTCAAATTTTTGATAATCGGGGAATCAGGGTGCGGTCTCACGCAGTGAAGCGCACCATAAGAGGGTAAACTTAGGTACACCTTAGTGAGGTTCCATCCCAAAACCAATTGGTGATGTCTCATCAAATTAATGTGGGACAGACTCACAAGTGATATTTCAACAATTATGTGAAAGTCTCATAATCTTATAGGACAACAATACCATCTAATATAAATTTAATGACATATTTACCATTTTTTTGAACATTATGCCATATACAAAACGAAATAAATAGGTGGATGGCGTAAAAAATAAAAAATAAAAAGTATTGGTCTCATTTTTCTCTCTTCAATTTCACAATCCAGCTTTTAAAATAAAAACCAGTCGTTACATTAAATATCCCTATAAAATTTATTATTCATCCATCCATTCACATATTCATGACTACCGATAATTATTTTACATGACGACGTGTTCTGTGTCGTATATAATATATGCAAACATAAAAAAATGTGTGCCATGCATGAACCATAACAATGTACTATATAAGTTCGTTCTCTATAGTTAGTTTGATTGTTGGATAAATGCACGCACGAACAACTCACACTAATCTTGTGCCAATTCGATATTTGTACATCTCTTCATTGTACAATCTTATGAAACAAAAATATAATAAAAAAAAAAAACCAAAACTGATACACGATTATTATTATGCAGCCCGTTCCAAAACCATCAAGACCAGCACCAACCGAACAAAACAAGACATGGTGCATGGCAAAGGAAAACGCTTCTGCCTCTGCATTGCAGGACAATATCAACTATGTATGTGGGCTACCAGGACAGTACTGCCAGCCCATTCAGCCCGGTGGCCGATGCTTTGACCCAAACAATTTGTGGGCCCACGCCTCTTTCGCCATGAATGCCTTTTATCAAGCCAATGGCCGTAACAACTTTAACTGTGATTTTAAAGGCTCTGGCGTGATTACCTTTACCGATCCAAGTACACTTTTTTCTCTATGCTCTATTCATTATTATCATCATCTTTTGTTATTTTAAGTGTTTTGCTTGTCTCGTTGATTTTGTTCTTAGTTGGTGATGATCATGTATGTTTCTTTGTTAATTTTTAGANGTTGTCAATGGAGCATGTATTTTATTCGTTCGTTAAGCCGCCTTGTGATTTTCTAATATCTGACTCGATCCCAGTCAGCGACCAATTTATACAGAGAAGAAAAATGGATGGTGAATTTTCTAGCTGTCTTGATGCCATTTGTGTGATATGTATTATTAGTACGTAGTAGTGAAGTTTAATCGATTGAATCCATCAGAACTATCGAACTCTAATCCATTGGATATTAATTTTAATTTTATTTGGTTAATTTTGATTTGTGGTTAGCTAGATTTCTCAGTAGCGGACATGAGAACCATTATATGAATTTCATTTTGATTTATGGTTAATCTGGTTTTATTTTTTAATTCTGGGCCATGTTTTGAGGCATTATAAGGCTTTTAACAAAAACTAATTAAATTGTGGGTCTTTAGCCTCATGCTTTGTTGTGTATACGAACCCAAGCTATTAACATTGACTCTCATTCTCATGTCTTCATGTTTCTATTAAGTCAAAAGTTTATTATATACGTTGGTTTTCCACTAGCCTTTTGAGGTAGGGCAAATGATATATACAAAATTACGCCTGTTTGGATTTGAAAATATTACATTTCATCAATATCAAATTCTTTTAAGAAATACAGGGAAGTTTTTGTCACTCTTGGTAAATCCTATACATGTGATTTATCATTACTATCGACAAGTTGTTTTTCATATTTTCAGCTGAAGGTAATTATTTTTATGTTTTATGTTATAATTTCAACAACTTATCTTCTGCTTTCAATTTATACTTTTATGTTATAATTTTGTCAAATGTAAAGGCTTTTGCAATAATGAGTTAGAGAAAGAGAAAATAAAAAAGAGTAAAAGCGAGTGAGAAGGCTGGAGTTGCTATGGTTGGGACAGCTAAAATGGACATGAAATTCTTTTCAACAATGTACTGTACTATCAACATCCATTATTTACTTCTTTTGGCGTAATAAAGCAGTGACAAACTGACAATCCGTATGGATGATGTTATACTTCATCCGCTGCTTAATTTCGTGGCGCAATAATTAGTGACAATCTGTAATCATATCTTACACTTAAAGCATCATAATTAATACTATTCAATCGCCCATCATCATCAACATCACCTGTACCAAACACGAGAAAAACCCCCTTTCCAAACCCACCACTCGCACACCAAACCCCATCAATGGCGGATAAACCACCAAAGCACAAAATCAAGAGCAAAAAGCATAAACACCAGCACCCAAACGACCGGGCGTCGGCCAAATCCGCCGCCGATCTCTCTTTCAAGCCCTCCTCCGACGTCAAGGGACTCCGATTCGGCGGCCAATTCGTGGTCAAATCGTTCACGATCCGGCGCGCGCGGCCGCCGGAGCTCCTCCGCCTCCTCTCCATCCTACCGCCTCCTCGGACGGCGTTCGCCTCCGCCGCGGCGTTCCTCCCGACGAACTTCACGATCCTCGCGCACCGCGCGTGGCACACGCTCACGTTGGGCCTGGGCACGAGGAAGTCGAAGGTGGTGGTGTTCGTGTTCGAGTCGGAGGGGCTGAGGGCCGCGGCGGAGCGGCTGTGGCCGGCGGAGATTCCGCTAGGGGAGGTAAACCGGAGGCTGATCCGGGGGATGGCGGGTTGCGAGATGGCGCGGTTCAAGTTCCGGAAGGGGTGCGTCACGTTCTACGTGTACGCGGTGAGGAGGTGCGGCGGATCAGGGTTCGGGTGCGCCGAGGATCTGAGGGAGATTCTGCAGGCGGTGGCGGCGCTCAAGGATTTCCTCGATCACACGGCAATGCTCGCCATGCCCAACCAGAGGAGTATAAACTACGCGCCGCCGCTGGCCGTTGCTCACTAAAACTAGGTGTGTTTGATTTTTATTGTTATTTTTTTTTTTTTTAAGAAAAAATCCTTTTATTGATAATTTGACCGACGGTATATTTTTCTTTATTACATTTATTTTCTGTTTGTTACTCATTTTTTCCTTTTCGCTTTTGTACTATTTTTACTAATTTTCGCATTATTTATTATTATTATTGTAAAAATGTGTTGATTTTCAGTTAATGTAAACTTTCTACGCTTAAATTGTTGGTTAGTTGCAGATTTGTTTCGATCATATATAGGTGCGTAGGGGAGCTAATTTAATTTTTCTTTTCATTATTTTATTGAGTTTCATTAGCGTGCTGCGTTTACTTTACTTGATTTCTTGTTGACTTGTCAAACGTGATTAAATATTGAATAATTTTGTGTTTTTCATAAATTGAATTTGCCCAATTCCTATATTGGCTTCAACTCTAATATGATAACGAATTGTAAAAATCTGTGTGTTGTGTGTAGGAAAATCAATTCAAATGTTTTAATGAAATTTTAATTAAAATTTTTATGGCGGAGAGTTTAAGTTGGATTATAAAATTTGAAAAACAAAAATCTCATAAAAAAATAAAGATGGAAATATGTAAAAGAATAAAAAATGAGACCTACATTGCAAATAAATGTTCCTCCAAGATGTAGAATTCTCAAATCTAAGTTATGTTTGGTAAAATTAGCTAATAAGCCTATTATTTATCAGTATTTTTCAAGCTCATAGCTTACGACTTATAGCTGAAAAACTAATTTATATGATAAAAGTATTTGGTAAAATTAGTTGATAAGCTAACTAAAATAAAATTTTCAACGGACTTATTTGAAAAGCTACCCATAGAAGTTTATGAGATAATTTCGAGTTTTTTTTTCAAAAAAGTCGTCCTATTAAACGAAGTTTATTTAAATAAAGGAAGCTTATAAGGGTATCCACATCCCTTAACATTCATTCAATTACAATTTAATACTCTCTCATCCACATCATCTCAACATCATCTTTCCACTAAACATTTCTCCATTTAAACATACACTTACATTCAATCATTCATTTAAATACAAACATATTGGACTCATTATCTACTCATTCAATACTATTTTTATATTTTATTCTTACTAAAAATAAATATACATTTTTTAATTAGAATACTTAATTTTAATTACTGAAATAGGCTAAATATTATTATATTACAAAAACATAAATTAAGATTAAAAAAAATTAATTGAAAAACTAAAACAAAAAAAAAATAATTAAATAATTAATTGAAAAAAAAACAAAAAAATAATTAAATAATCAATTGAAAACAAAGCGAAAAAAAAAAGACACCAAGCCGTTCAATGGAATGAACGGCCAAATATATTTCTTTATAATGAAAAATAAATTATTTTTAATACTAATTGAAAAAAAAATAATAGAATTATTATTTACTAATTAAATAAATATGAGTTATAAAATTACAATACAAGTGGGCTAAATTGTATAATTGAATGGTGTTATTTTAAGTATCAGTAATAATATAAATAAAAGTATTTACAACTGGTAGAACTAGACGTGTTCAAAGGCCGGGTGGTTCACGGCCCAGACTGGCCCGGCGGGTCGGTGGACCTCAAATGTTGGGGCCAGAATCGGCCCAACATTTTATTGTTTTGGGATGGGAGTGGGACCAGAAGAGTGTGTATCTATTATATATGAATTAAGTACCTGAAAATTCACCACTTTAGATTTCTTTATTCGACAGGTGCAGTTTTTGGTGGATCAGCCTGACTCATGACCCTGACACTCACCAATCAACATCCAACTGGAATCCACAAATATATGTGTCACTTCGATAACAAATATATGGGATAATTCTTAATAAATTCATAAATCATAATTTATTTTGTATAACAATTTTTTGGAAGATTTATTTGATAAGAATTATATAATATTTGATATAATATGTTTGCATGACATTTTCAACTTTTGCCAATTAAATAGACTAGTACAATACCTATTTACTATACGGGTACCTGTTAATAAAATTATATTTAAAATTTAATAATAATAAAAACCAAAATTATTTTAGATTTTAAATATTTTTTTGAAAAATATATTATTATTTATATTTAAAATGAAATTGCCTCTTACACGACTTACCACCTTATATTATAATTTTTTTTAATTTAATCAGATAGTTACCTTGTAGTTAAGTTATTTAAATAATTTTTTTAATTAATATTAATAGATAATTTAATTTTAATTATAAAAATAAGTAAAATTATTTATTTAGTTTGTATGGATAATATAGATATCAAATTGAAGTTCATCAAGACATGATTAATTTGATATATTATAGATAAAAAATTGTTAATAAATAAAAAAATTATTAATTTTTAAATATAATTATAACTTAAGTTAGTAAATTTGTTATATTTTTAAAAGAAATATGAGAAAAAAAATAAAGATTGAGAAAAAAAAAACTATACCTTATAAATCACGTCAACAATAGAAAATCATATTAAAATATTATTAATGATCTTAAAAAAGACCATAAATTTTCAGTATATATATGGATATTTCAAATCTAATTATTTTTAGATTGTAAATAAATTAAAATTCATCCAAGCAAAACAAACAAGGCTTAAAAATATCCCACATAGAATTTCGAAGCTTGCGAGTCTGCTACTTTGGTTCGACACATTCGAGCATCTATCTATATATAAAAAGGTTGTTGGTTAAATCATTTTTGGAAACTTTTGACCAAATAAATAATACCTTTGACATTCTATTTATAGAAAACTTGAAAACAATAATGGTGTAGTTTTTTTTTTTACTGAAAAAATCACAGTTTGAATTCAAAATTAATGGTAGTAGAGATAATATTGAAACAATAATATGTGGATAACTCATGATGGAATCTGTGGATAACTAACTACTACCTCCTATTCTTTTTAAATGTCATTTTGGCTTTATCAACTATTAACCAAAATAAATGTCGTTTTGGATCTTTTGTACATATTTTTTCATTATTACTCCCATTTAGTTAATAAATACACTACGTCTTTTCATATTCTCTTCATTTTTTTTAAAAAAACATCCATCTCTATCTTCATTAATGAGGGTTATTATTGACAAAAAAAATTATTCTTAATTAGTATGCAACTTCCCAAAATGGCACTTATTATGAATAGGAGGGAGTACTAATCCAAACAGATTTTGATGAATCTTCACCAAACACCTATTTGATAAATCTGTGGATAACTAAACTATTAATCTAAAAAGATTTTGAAATGACTAAGCTTATTATGTATTAATATCGCAACCCAAGGAAAAAAAAAAACATAAGTGAGTCCATTTATTTTTTTATACTAAAATAAGAGATATTACCAAATATGATTTTTGTTTAATTTGATGGGTAATATCAAATCATTCTAAATTTTAATACGCGAATATCATTTCAAATATTTAGATAATATTATTCTAATACTCCAATCATCTAATATCGAGATATTTTTTCCACCTATTAAATTAACACTCAATTTGCCTATAAAAATAACATACACCACTCTGAATTGTTATTGTATCCCCACTCATCAAAAAATCAAGCAAAATATAAAGAACAAATAGAATTCTGTATTGATAAGAAATCATGAGGACTCATCAAGCAAAATAACATGAAAACTCTATGCAATCCAACTCTTTTAAAGGATAAATGTATCTTTTTTGAACAAAAAGATAATGAAAAATGATATTTTTGTTATTATGATGTATTGAATTTTATGGGTATGAAAGTCGAATTTTAGGTTGATTTGTTATAAAATCAAGGTAATATGTTTCTCAAATTTTAGCATATTTCTATAATAACTTGCCATAAAATATTAATGATAATTTGACAAAATGGTATGTATTCCTCTTAAAAATCATAAACATCTTTGAACAAATATTGGTTAATAAAATTTAAAAATTAACTGACAACAACTCTAAAAAATTGTGAGATAATATGTATATAAGGGAATATATATATATATATATATATATATATATATATATATAAGGAAATTTATCGTATAGTTCAAATTTGAGTTTCAAATTTAAAAGTCAAATAAATAATTATTCATAACTTACGTGTCAATATTAACTTAGGCATAAATGAAATAGTCAATTAATTGTAGTTTAATAAATTATTCAACAACTTAAATTTTTTATTTTGATAGTTTATACAAAATTAAATTTATTTTAATTAATGAACACTATACGTTTTATATTGTACTTATTATTCACATAGATTTTTAAATATATGATAAAATTTTACAAAAAGAATTATTTTATGGAATCACTTTGTAGTCCAATCGAATTTCTGAATAAATATTTTAAAATGACACTTATTTTGAAATAAATATAATGTAATTTGTTATCAAATACGTGCACCATACGGGTTGTATACTAATTAAATTGACATGTTTTATGTAATTTTGCACTATATAAAATTCATATAACATTTTCAATAAATTAATATAGGTAAATGTATTACATATTGATTCAATATTTTTAATTTATAAATATTATCTAATAATTATTTTTTATTTATAAATACTAATGAATATCTCTTACCCGTGCATCGCACGAGATTCTTACTAATTATGTATAAAGGGTATAATGCCTAAATCCAAACTAGTTTACCTTATGTGAACGCAGACAAAAGAATATCAGATGTAAAGAATTATCAAACTTAGGGCATGATTGTATATAATTTCAACAGTAAATATCCCGCTCAAAACTCAAATTTAACTCAACCTTAACTCAACTCTACTATCTTCAATATTATCAATATAATTAAATAATATCAACCAATCATTATTACACATCACATCAACTTTAATTCACTCACATAATTTTAACTAACTATCACTTCCAATCATTTTCTCCTACTTTTACATCAAATCAACTTTAATTATTTTAATTTAAATATTATTTTAATATATCCACTAACAACTAACCATACTACTTTTTTAAAACTTAACTATAGTTAAAAAAAAACTAGTTTTTTACTAGTTGAATTCATATCCAATCACCCCCTTAGTGTCTAGGGATTTTTTTGTAATTTTCGGTCAATTCCAACGCTAGATTTAAAATATTGCTTTTTTTCGGTCAAAATATCGGGGGTATGATTTCTCGTAGTGCATATTCTCACCTCTCATTTTTCATCTTTTGAGAATTACCATATAAATTATTATTCCAACCCACGGCCCTATTTAAGAGCTCATCCTTATATGGAGTTTCGACTTTATGAAAATTTCATTTGATTGACCTATTGTTGGAATGTGGTAAGTAATTATTCTGTGGGTGGATTTGAAGTAAATATTCATCGTGATTTGTTTTATTTATGGATTTTCAANTGACTTGCAAAAGCTAAACTAAAAAATTAGCTTAAAATTGGCATGATATATCAAATTATCAGAAATAAAAATAAAATAAAATGATTTATATCCAAACTTAGAAAAAGTATGGTTAAATTTGCAACTTTAGAAAATATTGTAATTATTGTTTTGCAATTAATTTTTATGATGAAAATCCATGTATACATGTACGTAGTCCACCTGATAAAATCAGGTCTAATTTAAGATTGATGTTTAAAATAGCAAAACAATATAAAAAAATTATATATTAATATACAAACTTGAAAAAAAAAATGGTTTAATTTAATTTAATTTTTTTCGGAATTAAGCCTTTATATTTCATTCTTCTTTTCGTGCCGTATTAATTTGTTTACCAGCGATGGGCATTATCATGAAACCGTACCCACTCACATCAATTATGTCCCTCACTCGCACCTCTCTCGACTCACTAGTCTCACCTCAATTATATTCCCCATAATATAGATTTTTTTTTCTTTTTCTTATGTTTTTTTATTTTTTTTGTTGGTCTTTTTCGGATAGTGGTTTTCAAATCTGAGCTTTTCGATTTCTTCTTGACCGAGTTCACTATAATAACATGATTAGGGTTTTGGTGTCTTTATTGGGTCAGACTGTTTTGCTTTTAATTAGACTTTTAGTTCATGTATGATTCTTATCAAATATAAAATGAGATGAAAAGAACAATTTCATTTACATTAAAATCACTACTTTTAGTTTATTTTATTTAATTTATTTTGAAGTTTCAGATCAAGATTGGACAACCCTTTTGCAGCTCCATATTGATTTGCATGTAGCAATCATAAAGTTTGTGTAATATGAAGCAAATTGGAAGTAAGGCGTATTGGTAGGCTAAGGAAATTGGACAACCCTTTTCTTATTATTGATTGATTTTTTTGTAATAGGAATGTTCAGTATTTGTTTCCAACTAAAAAACCGTTGTTTGAGTTTCCAATAGAAAATCAATAAAATATTATGTTGGAAACAGTGATTATTCACCAACAAAATAATGGAATTTCAATGAAAGAATAGTGAGAAAATTANGGTAATGTATCATTTTCTTATTTTTATTATAGGTTTACAAGTTTCATTATTTTTTGGTTTATGACTTGTTTATAAATGATAGTGTGTAATTCTATATTCAACATCGTATTTTGTAAAATACTTTCAAAAAGTATAAAATAAGTATACAAAAGGGTCAAGGAATTAACATTACTATATGTACCGAAACGTGCGTGAGTCGTACAATATAATGGCTTGGAGCATGTCGGCCCAGCCCAATTTCAGATAAAAGCCCATCTATGCTATGCGAGCGGTATTCTGGACATTTACTAATGAACAAGGCTCAAGACTTTATGTCAAACTTTATGTCATCTATTAGGTTTGCGTAACATGCATTGTCCTTTGAAACCTTTATGCTACGGCCCAAGACTTTAGCTTGCCTACAAACAATTATGGTAAGCTAAACAAATAGAAAAAAAGCATATTTATAAAGCAAAAATAAAAGTATACTGTTGTTTTTAATTAAACATCAAATTTCATTAACAAAACCTCAGCATATAAAAGGCGAGTAAACAACGGGTTACAAGAAAGTTCAAGGGATCTTGATAACAAGGTTCCATACCACGACCAAAGAGGTCACCCTAACACAAACAAGAAGAAACATCAAAACTAAAAAAGCAAAAGACTACCATTTATCAACAAAGTCCCAAAAAGACAAGATAGGTAGCAATACAAAGATATCATCTGCTATCATAGTCACCCTCAAATCCAAGCCATCCTTCAGTACAATCTGCGTCCTCAACCTGGGATCAACAATGATCTCCACCTTCTGCCACCTCATCTCTCTGCCCTCTATTAGCCATTTTCTCAAGCCCAGTAGCTACCTTTCCACTGAACACCTCATATCATCCCTAGACCCTTTATCCCTAGAAACTGACCACTGCTGCACTTCTTCATTGTTTCCCCAAGTTCTACCTTTTATCATCTCCCTTGGCCCAGAGACTCTGTTAGCACTGAGTGCAGTACCTGTAACCCCTACTCCTTGAAGTTCTCTTGATCTATGGATTTGAAAGTTGCACATGTCCTTATATTCATGCCACTTTATAGTTGCCTTTTCAACCACATGTCTCTCAGACATCCATTCTTTATTAAAAAACCATCCATTTCTTGTTTTTCACATCCATCACAAAATATATGTTGAAAGAGATATTCTGTCTTTTCCTTTACTCACCCAAATGATGTTACAGATCTCCTTCCACCACCCCTGAAAGTCAACCCTCTCCTCCTGCAGTCTATTCTACTCTAACCCTCCTAGCTTCCACACTCTTCTAGCTTTGATACAAGTGAACATAAGATGTTCCAAATCCTCTCTTTCCTCTCCACACCAACCACACACCCCATCAACAGGCATACACAAAAAATAGAATTGGATGAACAGATATAAATACATCTTCAAATGCACCAACATCTATCAATCGAAGCGCATCCGAATTCCTTCTTCGCATTTTTCTTCTCGTAGTCGTGAGAAGCCTTGTTTACTAAATAATTCATTCAAAATGAGTTATTTTGGCTAACTAGAGTTAATTTGAAATTGTTAGTGAGATTTTAAGAATGTATTAAAATAATAAAATGATTATTATTGATTTGATGTAAAAGTAGGAGATAAATGATTGGAAATGGTACGTTGTTAAAATTATGTGTGTGGATGAATAGTGAATTAAAATTGATGTGATGTGTAAGAATAATTAGGTTGTATTATTTAATTATATAATAATATTATGGAAGTGGAGTTGAGTTAAAGTTGAGTTAAATTTTGAGTATGAATTGAATGAGAGTGAATTAATTTATAAACCTCTCTNTTGTTTGATTTCCCAACTTATTATTTGCTTGCTTGTCATTATTTTTGCAGGTAAAATATTTGTGGCAACATTTACTACATACATTTTTTTTGACTTTACAATCTATAATATTTGTTCTCATAAAATGTACCATAAATTTCATCAACATTCATAATTTGCATGTTTTTTCTACGTCTTACACCATAGAAGTATCCATTTTTGTGGGTGATTGTATTTTTAAGATGTATAAATTGTTGTGAATTATTATTCTTCATGAAGGCCAAGTTACATTTTACCAACTATATGTTGCAAAGTAACACGTCTGATATGGGATACCATACTAGGTCGAGTCGACCAGAGAAGCATACCGACTGAACCGGATAAACAACCGGGTCAATCAGAGGCTGAAGGCTGGAGAGGTCGAAGGTAGTGTCGTCAAGGCGGATCACCAATAGGTCGAGCTAGGGCCCTCGAAAGGCATGTTGGAAACTCGACCTGAAGGAGTTAGGATCAAAGAATCGACAGACAAAACACGAGCTCGATGAAGAAGGCGTTCTACCTCGGAGCAAACCGAATTAGTCGCATGATTAGACAGTTTGATAAAAAAGACTAAGAGATAAGAAAGAATATTATTAGGATAAGAACTACGCGGCGCAACAGAATTGGACAATTCGGGCACCGAGCAGTGCTGACAGGTAGTTCCAATAGTTGAGCATCTCATCCGAGTAGGCTTGGATAACAAGACATCACCCCTATTTAAAGGAATGAGGTATGACAATCCAAACTCTACACACTATGTATACACTCTATACTTTCAGTAATTTGTGTTCAATTTTCATTGTCTTCATACACATTCTGAGTTGGGCGTCGCAGGCTCTTCGTCTGGAAACATCCCCGGCGTTGGTTTGTTATGGTTAAACGGGTCTTTGATCGATGAGGAAGACAGTCTAGGTCGAACCGAGCCGGTCTGAGGTCTTTTACATTCCAATCTCACTATAAGAAAATGATAAAATTCCAAATAAAATATATTTCAATGGAATTCCAACGAAAATTTCAATGTAAATACTTTCATTGGAATTTTTCGATGGATTTCAAGGAAAATAGTCTATTGGAATGAGTTTTTTATTGGAGTTCCAGTTGGATTTTAACGATTCCAACGACATATTTTTTAACTATTAAAATATGGGTGACAACAAATTTCCTACGAAAATTGTATATTCCAACGGAAATTTCTGCGGTAATAAACCTTTGGAAAAGTTGTCATTGAAATCATCAAATTCCAACTAAAATTTCAATAGAAAAAACTCATTTCAACGGAATATTTTCAATGGAATTTCTGTTGAAATTATATTTATATTCCAACGGAAGTTATACTATTGAATATCCGTTTGAATTTTTATTGAAATATATATTTACCGTTAGATTTCCTATTGGAATATGATATTTGTTTTTGTATTGTGTGTAAGTTTTACCATATTTTTGCACTTAAAATTTTATTGCGTTCATGAAATATATATCTTCATCCAAAATTAAAAAAATATATAAAAGAAAATAAGAATTAAAATTTGATTAAAAACTCAAAGGGGAGCTCACGAAGTTTCGTGACACTCTTCAGCAATTGAATTTTTTAGATTGATGATGTTTCTTGTCATTAAATATACTTCATATTTTGATGCGAACGCCTTTATTTTTTTCTTGGTACAACGCGAACGCCTTTATTTATTTAGTGAAACTCTACATCCCTTTATATATAAAAATACAACTTGAAGAAAAAGAAAAAACAAAAACATTTTTTTGTCTAAAAAGGGCCCATTTTTTTTTTTTTTAATCATGGACCCAATTAGATTATAAGCAAGATACACTATCAAAAAGAAATGGAAAGTTTTCTGCTAAGCTGTTTGACAAATTTAAGTATTGTCTATTCAAATATCATTCTTTAAAATACAATATAAATTAAAATATGAGATATTATATATAGTTTAACCATGATATTCTTTTTTATTAAGAAATTATGGCCCATAAAAGCAACATTGTATGGTATTTTGGGGCTTCCCTCCATATTACGTTACTTCCATATTTAACTTGGATTTTTCATATAAACGCATGCTCTTCATTCTAATTACGTAATATATATTGAAGATTTGTGATCAACTCTTGCCATACACGGAATTAATTGCTCGCCAAGTTTCTACTTTTACCAAAAGATTAAAACACTTACCAATCATCTAGAAATCACTAACGCTGCTACTTAACGATTGGGTGGTCATATTTTTTAATATATATATATATATGCATAATTTCAAACTGAAATATCATACTATAAAAAATAATATTAATAAAAGAACGACATTTCATGGTAGAACTATGTAACGTCTAACCATTACGGGCGCGATTAATATGAGATTTTTATTTTCTATTTTTAACCAAATTATGTCTAGTTCAAAAAATAAAATACAAAAGTGAAAAAGATATTTCTAAATAAGTGAGATAGATTTGAGAATGCAATAAAAATATAATTATTAGAGTTAATGTGATGTAAAATAATATAATACTGATTGATATATAGTTAGTATATGTGAATGATTGAATACTAACTTCTGTTGAAAAAATGTATGATAATATTATTTTATTTTTTTATTGTATAATAATATTATGTGAATTTTTAATTGTGTTAGTGAAATTGTTTGAGAAAAAAAAAATTAAGATGAAATGAAATTTTAATTTTCATTGGTTCAATTCACATGTCAATGAAACAAATCTTAACTGATTAGATACACTGAAATTTTCTATTACGTTATCGCCCCTAAACAGCATCGATCATACAAAAATTTGTGTCAAAAGAAATAGGTAAGCCTATGATACATAGTCCATCAACCTTATCTATAATACGTTCACTAGTAGAAATTAATCAACTAAAACAAAATTCTTTAATTTACTGCAACTACAAAACGCTTTGAACAAACACGAACAAGTAGTATAGGTTCCATTTGTTTGACTTTTGATTTCCCAATCTCCTTCCATTCCCACTTGCCTAAAGTCAAAATTCACATAAAAGTCAAACTCACCCTTTGGCCTTTATATAACCCCTTCTTTGCTAAATCCATTTTCTCATCACTCCAAAANCCAAAAAAAAAAATAAAAAAAAAATAAAAATTCAATCACATTACTATTTCCATTACCAATTTCATTAATAATGAAGAGAATTAGAGAGGGAGAAGACAACAAGGGCATAACCGTCATAGCCGATTATTTGATGCTATTATCGGGATCAGGTCAAGTCGAGCCACGGCCAAAACCGACCTCTACCAACCGCGTGTTCACGTGCAAAACGTGCGATCGGAAGTTCACGTCATTCCAAGCGCTCGGAGGCCACCGTGCAAGCCACAAGAAGCCACGGCTAGAGATGATTGGTGGGGACCACGTGCTTCAGCCTCCGCCATCATCACCGCAAAAACCGAAAACCCACGAGTGTTCGGTTTGCGGGCTCGAGTTCCCGATAGGTCAGGCGCTCGGGGGACACATGAGGAGGCACCGAGTCGTGAAGAAGTTGATGATGCCGAATAATAACACTAGGGTTTTGTGCCTCGATTTGAACTTGACTCCATTGGAGAACAAGTTCGTTTTTGGCAACGTTGATTCGTTTTGCTGGTGATCATCGATCGTTTTGAATTTTTTCGGTTATCGATTGATGTTTGATCCATGGATCTATTTTCTTTAATTAATTCACAAGATTTGGATTTTGATTTTGGATGAGACATGATTTGTTTATTTATTTTTAATATATATATATATATATATATGTTGCATGATAAATATTTCCGTATATTTGTAGTGGACTAGTGAGTATTATTTTAGTTTTTACGTACTTGATTTCATCTGTAAATATATATGTATCCTTCCTTCATGACATTGAGGTCGTGAAACTGATCTTAATAATATTAATTTACTAAAGAAATAGATTGAGTTATGACTTATGAGTCCAATTTTGAGTATCATGAAAGAATTATACATATGAACGTTCGGAATTTATTAATTAATGAGGAACTATATATATCAGTATATTGTTTGGCAATTATATTAATTTTTCTCGGCATATATTGATTAAATTTAAGTATGCTGAAATGAGTTAATCATTAGGATCTGTAATTGAATAAGCTTGACATGTTTAATGAATTTTTATTGCTTCTACTGATACTTATTGGTTATACTATCTACTGTTTTTTAAAATCAAAATTTTAACTTGGGAACTAAAGTAAACCCAAGTGAAATAGGATTCTAAACAAAGTGAAATAGGAACAATTGTTATAAAAGTAATATTATTTATATTTAATTAAAACTACTTTAATATGGTTGGAAACCAAACCATATATATAAGTTATACTTATGAAAGTTTCATATAATTTTTAAGAATGTGAAAAAGAATATAACTTAAATGGTAATCAAAAGAACAATAAATTTAAATATTATTTTGATTCACAAGAGAGCTAACATATTTTATTTTATCACCATTGTATATATGATCACATTATATATAATTGTGAAAAAATGATATCATGTGATGATAGTCATACTATGTAGGGAAATTGACGATCTTAATTATATTGTAGACTTTGTAGTATATGCATAACATATATAAATTTCGTTTGATTAATTTCGTGTAACATATATTTCGTTATGCATCAAGATCTTCAAAATTATAAGAAATAAAAAAAAAAATGTTAAACACAGCAGTTGGGCGACTAATGCAAGGATTAAATCATAATATATATCTGCACTACTTATTTTTATGCCACGTATACAATTTCATGTCTGTGGGGCGCCCTTGCCGTACGATCAGTACTGTCGGCGCACAGGTGGCCATTCATGCTAACATGTCCTTTGATTTGGTTAATTTCTTTAATGTTGATTATATGCTTTTTTTTTTAAAAAAAAAATATGAGTTCCTTGCTATTAAACTAGTGCAGAGCCCGTGCGATGCACGTGGTGCACAATTTTAAGGCTATTTATCCAGACTTATAATTATATACATGAATAAAGAAAAATGTATGGGATATATATAGTACGTGACCCGTGCGAGGCACGGTATATATTTATTTGGAGAATATTATATTATAAGATGCAATATTAAATAAAAGTTTTATGATACGTAGAAAAATTGTACAATAAGATAGTATTTGACAAAAAAACAATCATATATTATTAAAGACTTCCTTGTACACAACATTATGAGTTTGCTTATTGGACAACTCGTCATTCTCACAAACTAAACATGTACAAAAAAACAATCATGAAAAATTAATTTGTTTAAAAAACATAAATAATGTAAATATCTAAATATATACACGATCTCTAGAAGAAATAAGGCAAATTCTAAATTTTAAAAATAAAATAAAAAAAATTCAAAAATATACGTTTCATATTTAGAAATAAAAAAAAAAGAAGTAAAAATAATTTGGCTTACAGTTGAAAGTGAGGAAGACGATGGCTCAATATTTTGAGATTTATAATTTATAATTAGTAGAGTAGAATCATATCTGTTAAGATTTGTAAGAAAAAATCTTGATATACGGAAATCACATTATATGTAGAGGAACAAATCAGATCATATTTTCCATACAATTAGATAAGATTTTTTGTACAAAGATAAGAAGGAATTTTAAATCTACACAAACTATAAATATTAAATGTATTGATTTACGTAAATCAATATTTATATAGACAACCAAACCCTTCAATTTAGGTTTGACATCTGATTTATTTTTGGTAAAATCATGATTTTATCATCCGATCAAATCTGCCTTTTTTTTTTGGTTTACGTAAATTTTTTTTGTACCGTTTTTATGGGAAAAATAATTAAATAAAAATTAATTGATAAAAATAGAATGCATTAATTACCTTTGACTTTTCTTCCTACTAATTCTAGTAAATGGGATGGCCTCTTTATATAAGTATAGATACATTATATATTAAATTAATTTTTAATTAGTTTTTGGCAGATTTATACCAGTATATATTAAATTATTTTCAATAGATTTATACCAGTATATATTAAACTATTTTCGGCAGATTTACAACAGATACTACGTGTATTGTACGGATAATAGTGTATTGTATGGATTTGGATTCCATAAAAAAAGATTTACATCAATCATATACAATGAAATAAATCCCTCCACAAAAAAAGGGGAAAAGTTGAGTCAAAATTGTGAAAAAAAATTGATGCAATGGATTTATTACATATTATCTGTTGCAGTTAATGCTCGCTATTTATTAGGCCGAAATTAATGCAATGGCGTGTAACAAAAACAGCTTATATGGAATGATGTTATGATAATTAATTCAGTGTAATTAATGAGACGTATGAAAAGGACATAATACTTGTCATTTTTAGAAAATAATTAATGCAAACCAGACTTTGACCATAAATTGACCTACTAATTTTGATAAATGTTAATTCTTATTATATATATATAGACTAGGCATTCAATTTATCGTTATCTTTGCTAAATGAGAAAAAATAATTTGTCAAGTAGCTACAAATAACAAATGAGTTAGTAAACAATGGATAGTTTGAGAAATCATGCCAAAAGTCTCAATTATGGTTGCGAGTATTATTATAATTCATCGTACTTGAGCATTTCGAATTCGTGTTTTGATTTATTATTTCAAGTACTGTTTGTAGTCGTTTATTTATTATCCATGTAAAAGTTTATGTTCAAATTCTATCTTTTAATTGTTCATTAAAGTTCAAATTTATTCGTCTTAAGATATTATTAAAATATAAAAAATATTTGATTAACTCGAATTTTGTTTGTTCAAATTCATTTGAGTTAGAAAACTTAAAATCTTGAAAAAAATGATATACTGGTATGCTGATTTTTTATAACAATTTTTACATGTAAACAAAATTAAATAATTTTTATATTAAATTAATATTCACAAATATTATGGAACAATTTCTTGTTATTTCAACTAATAAAAGAGCCTAAACTTTTTATTCGAGCTCAACTTAATTAGTAACCAACGAGCTTTATTCAAATTTTATTTCTTAAACAGCCACAAATAACAAATAAGTTCGTAAATAATGGATGTGAGAAAAATTATGTGAAACTTCTCAATGATGGTTGCGAGTACAATAGTAATCGAACCGAACGAGTCACGTTATGCATTTAGAGTTCGTGTTCAATTATGTTTAAATAATTTTCGCTGTTGTTCATTTATTATTCGAGTGAAAATTTATATATGAGTTCGTTCGTTTAACTGTTCGATAAATTTGAGTTCGTTCATATTAAAATAATTAGTAAAATGCATTGCAAAAGTTGTTTGGTTAACTAGAATTATGTTTGTTCGAAATCTTTGAGTTCAAAAATTAAAATTATGAATACAATAATATTATATAGTGGTATGTTAATTTTCCTATTAAACCAATTTTACATATAAATTAAAAAAAATTATATATTAAATTAAAGTTCGTGAACAATATGCAACGTTCGCGAACATACTCGTCTTAATTCAATTAACAAACGAGTCTGAAATTTTTATTCGAGTTCGCCTAAATTAGCAAAATGAAGCCTAAATTTTTATTTAACGTTTGGGGGACAAAAGCATATTGAGCTCATATACAGCTCTAACTATGAGCTATTATTGGCATGATCTCAAATCTTCACTTATCTGTTTGCTCTCTATAACCTTATCTAGTCCATTTGGTTATCAAAATTTTCATTTAAAAACTAAAAAAGTTGTAAATATATATGTTGTGATATATATAAAACTATAAATAGTAGTTGCAAGTCATTTTCTCCGTATATAATAATATATTGGGGGCTCACATTTATTAATTAATTTGTTTACTTTTATCAAAAGTCTTGCTACAATAAATTAGTATTTAAAAAAAAATAAACGTACATATGAATACTTCAACATCAACTGGGCCATTGGATAAAATTCATGAGTCATTTCACTATGTACCTGACTAAATAAATCTTCTCAAAACAATTAAATATTTTTGTCGCAATATCTATATATTGTGACATTAGCTGACTAAATCAACCTATATGCACACATTTGATTCGCATTCTAACTTATATAGTTATAATTAGTCAAATATACGTACAGTTCATATGGAAAAGTGCACGCGTACGGAAAGTGAAGTTTTACCTGCAGCCAAGTACGGAACAATTGAACAAAGGCCCATATCATATCTATAGTCAATTTAAACCAGTTGAAGAGTACATGTTTTGCACGGACTTCTGTACTTGTGTATGTGTGTGTGGGTGGCCTATCTTACTAGATTTACATATGAATTTTTAATGTGGAGAATGTTAATCTTGATTTAGCAAACGAAAAGTGAATTTGCTATTTAAATTTAGGTGAAAGCTTAAACGATACCAAATTTATATATTTTATCGCGGTTTTGTTATGAAGCTAACAGTTGACTCCATAATGGAGCCAACCTTTTATATACAACAAATAAACCTATCATATTCTCTGATTATTTAAATAACATTAATTTAATTTTATTAATATAGTAGATTTATGGGGCTTTTCCTACAAAGTACCTAAACCCTTTTTCACATTTCATTTCAGTCCCCACACAAAAAAAATTCCTTTTCACTCCCTATTACACTAAATATCTTACAATAAACTCCCTAT